CTTGTAATTCAAGCCCGCTGGAGGTAGAGCCGGGAGAGTCACAGTCAGTGGGTCTACATAAGAGTTACAGACTAGCCAGAGTTACATAGTGAAACTCTGCCCTGGCCAGCAGGGAGGGAGATGGAGACTCGAACTCCCAGGGACCTGGGATGATGGGACAAGAGACACGAAGAATGACAGCAAGACAAAGAACTCTAATCAAGCTGCCAAAGTTTATTTTTCCATGGGGATTCTTATACGGGCTGAAGCGGGAAGTTAGCTGGGAAAGAGGGAGGGAAGGTGTTGTCTCAATGGGTTAATGAATGTCCCTAGGATGAAGGGACCTGGTGCCATTGTCTGGTTGCAGGCTAAGGAAATTGGTGGTTGTTATCTTAGGGGGCAGGGAGGACTGATCAGCAAGTTCTCCAGAGGATGCTTGCCCTGGGGGGCAGGGAGGGCTGCCAGGCAGCATGGTCTCCCACAAAACCCTGCCTCAAAAAAGCAAAAACCCTACACCTAGCACTCAGGAGGCAGAGACCAGCCTGGTTTACATAGTGAGTTCCAGGCCAGCCAGGGCTACATAGTGAGACCTTGCCTCAAAAACAAAACAAAGCAAAACAAAACAAAACAAAACACCCTTAGAACTGGAGGCAGAGATGCAGGCTTGCAGCCTGTAATTCCAGCACTTGGTTGAGGCAGGAGGATCACCCTGAGTTCAAGGTCAGCTTGGACTCACACAGTGAGTTCAGAACCAGTCAGGGCTACAAAAACAGAACACTGGAATAAATAAATCCAAAGGACCCCTCAGGCTCTGCAGCAGCCTAGACCTCCACAAATGAATGGGCTATGCAAATTGCCAAAGAATGCAAATCAGCCTCTGATTTGAGGGACAAAAGCCCAGGCCCTCTGATTACATCATGACTCTGGAGGCAGCGAGAGGAGGGGGACTGAGCCCGAGAGACAGGGAGGGACCAGGGATGAGGGTGTTTAAGGGGTGGTGTGGGGCCTAGCCAGCTGGTGTCAACGACCCAAGACATCAGCTGGCTGGCGGGCCCTAGGGCTGAGACAATGGGCGGGGGTCTGGCCGGAACCCTCCTCCCTAGGTGCCTGGTCCTCTCTCGGACCCTGGCCAGCTGCCGTGGGCACCTTCTCTGGTCTCTGCTGAGGCCTATGGGGCGCAGAAGATCATGCAGTTGGGGTGGGGAGAATGGAGGATGCTGGGAAAGCCTATGTGGACTGGCCTGGAGTGAGGGGGTAGAGTTTAGAGCGGGGTGGTTTGGAGCCTTTATTAAGGTCTCCGGTGGGACAGACATTGCGCGCTGGAGGATTTGCATATGTCCTTCCGTTTGCTCCTCCCAAAGTCCCCCTGGTCATAGTAATAATAATCATTATCCCGTGCTGAGCTCTCCTGGCTGGAGCTGATGGCCTTGTTTCAGTTAATCCTCATGACTGCCTAGGGAACTAAGGACTTTTATTACCGCCCTCTTGCAAATGAGGAGCCCCAGGCTTGAACAGTCCAGGGATTTTTCCAGTCTCTCTGTAGTGAGGGGGAAAAGTGGAGTCTTTTCTATCTGAGGCTTCCACACTTCCTAAAGCTTAATCTCCAGGGTCTCAAGACCTTCTTGAGGAAATAAAAATCAAACCTTAGAATAATTAGAACTTTACTGCAACAAAGCTCAAGTTACTGTCTGTGTCTCATGCTCTGCTCAGCTGCTGTGACACAGAGGGGCCACAAACCACAGGGCTGGCACAGCTTGTTTTAATGTGTTGCTCTGTTAGGAAAAAAAGTTAGGGGCTGAAGAAATGGCTCTGTGTTTAAGAGCTCTTCCAGAGGACCCAAGTTCAATTCCCAACCCCCACCTAGGGCAGCCAGGACTCCCAGCTCCAGGGGGTCATCTCTGGCTTCTGGGAGCGCCTACTCACACACATGCAACATAATTCATAATTCATAATTAAAAGTAATAAGCTAGGGACTAGCAAGATGGCTCGGTGGTTTAGAGGACTGACTGCTGTTGCCCAGAACCTGGTTTCGATTCCTAGAACCCAAATGGCTGCTAACAACCATCTGTAACTAGTTCCAGGGGATCCAACAGCTTCTGACCTCCACAGGCACTTACACATTTACACACATATAGTCAATACACTCATACACATAAAATAAAAATAATTAAAAAAATTTTTTTGTTCTTTTTGAAGCAGGGTCTCCCTATAGCCCCAGCTGGCCTAGAACTCCCTATGTAGACCAGGCTGGCCTTGAACTCACAGAGATTCCCCCTGCCTCTGCTTCCCGAGTGCTGGGATTAAAGGCGTGCGCCACCATGGCCCCACGTAACTTTCACCTAGTTTATACAGTGCTAGAGATTTAACTCAAGGTTCTGTTCATGCTAGGCAAACTACCAACTGATACACATTCCTAGCCCCTAGAAAAATTTAACTAATTTATTTAATTTAGGCTGAGGCATTGTGATGTGGTGCTAGGCAAGGGCAGGCAGATCTCTGAGTTTAAGCCTTGTCTACATAGTGAGTTCCAGTCCAGCTACGGTATTTGTGAGATCCTGTCTCAAAAAAGAATAAGAGCAGAGAAGCATTCAAGCAAGATGGCTCAACCTGTAAAGTCACGGGCCTGAGTCTGATCCCTAGGATCTATCTGCATGGTAGAAGTAGAGAACTGACACCTGCAAGTTGTCATCTGACCTTCACATGAGTCGGGTGGCACACAAGTGCACACCCACATATGAACACTCAAACATACAAAAAAAAATCGGATTCATAAGGAAGTCTAATTTTTTTAAAAAAAAGCAGAAGAGAGCCGGGCGTGGTGGTATACACTTTAATCCCAGCACTCGGGAGGCAGAGGCGGGCGGATCTCTGTGAGTTCATGGCCAGCCTGGTCTACATAGCAAGTTCGAGGTGAGCTGGGGCTACAGGGAGATGCTGTCTCAATAAGACCGGAAAAAAAAAAAAAAAAGGGGGCTGATGTACATGGCTCAGTGGGTAAAGGCTCTTCCTACAAGTCCGTTGACTTAAGTTCAAGCCCCTAGAACTCTCACAAAGGTGGAAGAAAAGAACTGACTTCACAAAG